TTATATATATATATATGTATAGATATATGTATATATAGATATATGTATATGTATTTAAAAAACTCATTAATAATTCATGAAGAAAACACAAAGAAAAATCATAAGCGTGTCGTATCTGTATATGTGATACAGATTCATGTTGATTTACATAAACTTATTTTTTTTTAAACTTATTTTTAAAATTACTTCGCCAATGACCTCATAAGATGAGTCGTTTTATATATATATATATATATATATATATATATATATATATATATATATATATATATATATATATATATATATATATATATATATATATATATTATATATTATATAATATATAATATATATTATTTAATATTATATATTATATATTATATATATATATATATTATATATATATATATATATATTATATACGAAAGGCCAACTTTGCAGATAAAAAACTCCAATTTCAGTTTTTAGTTAAAGATGTAAAATACCTAATTATACTAAAGACAGAAAATACCGCAAAAAATCTACACAATCAACAATCTCTGCTTGTTTTACCTAAATCATTTGACTATATCATATTCTAGTTTGTACTGCAATTATACAAGCGTACTGCAAATTCACTCAGCGAAGAGTAAATTGGTCAGAAATTCAAGAAGTTGACATTTTTCACACTTTTAACGACAGTTATAGCCTGGCGCACACGATGCGATTTTAGTCGGCCGATAAAAACTAACAAAATCGTTGTGTGTGCGGTGTCATTTTTAACCGATTTTTGTTGCTCCATTTTAATCGGACAACATCAAAACGTTTTGATATTATACGATTTTTAACGGTGGAATTTTAAGTATAACCAATCAGATTTCATGCTGTGATCACGTGCTTGTACTTATTTGGCAACATGGCGGCTACAGTTCAGCGAGCATATTTTTTTCGTAATCGTGTGCAGAGTATACCGATGTATATCGGTATGTCAAACGATTTTTATCGGCCGACTAAAATCGCATCGTGTGCGCCAGGCTTTTTTAGCAACTCAAGAAATTAACAATCTTAACAACTTCAACAATTTGCAACAGCAAAAATAATGGTTTACACTTTACAAGTATTTAACGCTCACTAAATCATAACTGCATGTGTGTTACACTTGAGTGAACATGTATTGTCTGTGCAACACAGCATGGAACATATTGCACTACTTTCAAAATATTTAAGAATTCGATTTTAAGACCCGGTTTTAAGAGCTCCGACCGGTCTTTTGAAAATGAAAAATTTGCGATTTAGATGCGTGTTCTTGCATGACAAGTATTATTTGTTGAAAAACAAAAAGTATCTTTCTTATGTAAAACAACATCTAGAGAATTTGAATTTTTGCCCAAACGTTACGTAACCGCCGTTGCTATGGCAACAATGGCGTATAATTTCAATATGGCGGATATTTTGGCTTTAAATAATTTAACCCGCAAACGACATCGGTGACCCCCAATTTCTATTTCATAAAATGGTTTCTCTTATTATATTGAATTACGAAGGTGATCATTCATAATTTATTTTTGGCTCAAAAGAATTTTTTTAAATTGTCAAAACAATTCACTAGGTTAGCGTCAGCACCCATCTGTCGATTTCTGGCGCCTCTGATTTTTTTAAATTTTTTTTTATGTAAACTCTTCGTTTTACACTTTAATTAAAACAGTTTAATAAACCTTCGCGCTTTTTATACTTTCCGGTTTTTTTTAAAACTGTATTGAGCCACCTGTCAAGTATTTAGCGACCGGAACCACTTTTTGGTGGAACAACTGTTCCTATACTTCTATAATTAGTTGCAATTGTCTTATTTCATTTCATTTCATTTTATTTTTATAAGAACTGGAAAAAGTGGTATTGCTGAAGTCTGAGAAGCATCGAGGTTGTGCTCCCAGGAATTCGTTTTCCTGCTCCGGGCTTTACTCGATTTCTATGTGGGAACAACAGTTCGAAACAGATCGAACTATCCGGTGTAAATCATGTTAGTTTAGTTTTAGTTATATGTTTTAAGTGGATCCTTAATTATTCTACGAAGACATATTTTAAAATGAATATATTTATTATTCTTAAAATAAATACTTAAATTAACATAATTATATATTAAATAGATTGAAATACTCTTGATTTAATAATAAATAAAACAATAAACTCTTTTCACGAAAGAAACATGAATTAAATAATGAAATATACCACACTTAACTCCATGTGACTTCTTAACCGATGAAAAAATAGTCGCAAGCTAAAATTCCAGATATTTGCTTCACTTCTTGACCTTGGCCATTGTTTGATCAGAGATTGATTTGCCAACAGAGTTGATACCTTCATTGGCTGTCTTCGAGCTGCTGAAGTCGATGCGGAAACTTGGATTGAAGGTCCATCCCAGAATTACAATTCTTGCTTCCTAGAAACAAAGAAGCATTGTTTTCATTTATTAAACTTCGTCAAATTCAAACACTACAACAATATAAATCAGTTACTGCTGGCCCTAAATTAACATAGGACTATTATAATCGTGATTATGCCGCAATACCCCTACAGTACAGTAGCTATAGTAATATTAAATAATATTTTTTGCCTAGGTTTCTTTCTGTAGTGGCACTGCCGGGATCAATAAGGATTAAGGGATGGTTCTTACTGGCGACTGAACAGTTTAGAACCGACAGAGCTATCCAGTATAAATAAGGTCAGTTGGATTACTTACAAAATTGAATTTCTTGGTGACTGCACTCATCTCAACTTCAAATCTGACATATTGAATATCAATGATACTCAATGCAGCATTCACCAACTTCTGGAGGACATCAGCTCCAACCTATAACAAGAAATAAGAACGCTCACTGATTAAATCAGAACATAGGAAAAAGTAACTTTAAATATTTGAGAGTTAAATCCGCATACAGAGTGTTTACACATGACGTCACAGCCGCCATGTTGGTGTTCCAATTCAAAATAACTTTAATTACACTCTTTTGTCCGGAACACCAGCATAGCCGCTTTGTCGAGTTGGTCCCTGGGGAATGCGTGAAAACGTTCTATAGGTTTGTTTCTTTAGCACTGTCGTGATGAACATTATAAGTGACTACTTTTAAAATTTTTCAGCACGTTTATAAATGATGGTCAGTATTGAGATATTTCAAAAATATTAAATGATAAGCACTGACCTTGATAATACCTTTCACGCCTTCCAAAAAGAGGTCGGCAGCCTTCAGAACAAGCGTAGCGGCTTTATGTGCAATCCACAATCCAGCAATAATACTACCATGATAGATTAGTTTACCTGCAGTTCCAATACAGATATATTTCCTGTACCATGGTGCGTTGCGGCACTCTCTTTTCGCATCCTCGATCTTCCGTTTGTGGTAACTAAGACATAAAATGATCGCTAAGGTATGTTGGTGTTACAGTCGTTAGTGCATATGCTTTTCACCTCAGGAACAGGGTTTTTGATTCCTGCAATATGCAGTTGTCCGATAACATAGAATAAAGATCCATATAGAAGGGCCGCTTACGTCGGAAGCTTTGAAGTTTCTGTCCTCGCGCATGTCGCATTACGCATGTTGGCCGCCATTTTCCTAGCCAGTCAATGACATTTTCTGGCCAATAAACACGCTGTACTGGCTGGCTGCTCCGCCTTCTGGCCAGTAAACTGCATTTTTTTTTGCATAAAAAGATGCGGACACGTTGCACCGCTGAGTGGCACTTCTGTTACTGATCTTTATTCTGTGCTGATAATCTGAAATCATTTTCATTTTCAATTAAGAATTACCGCGGTTTCCTCTTGTTGTAATACTCCATACCTCTCAGCAAATAGTTTAGAAATGACAGAACTATCCAGAGTAAGTAAACTCAGTTTAGCTTCAGTATTCAGTTCTATTCAAGCAATGCATGCGATTGAATGCGCTCTCAAAGATGACCGATGTAAACTCACTTTATATAACCTAGAAGTTTGTTAACCTCGTGTTGAGCATCTGAGATCTTCTGTTGGGCACCTTCAATCTTCTTGTTAATAGCTTTAGCACCAGATTGGATTGCTTGAGTAGCTTTCTGCTTGAGCTTCGCAAACAAGTCGTTCTGCATTTTTCCAATAACATGGACGCTAGGCGATGTCTTCGCCATCGAGATATCGACCAAGAGATATACTTGGAACAAATTCCATAGATTCAGTCTGCCCTCGAAGAAGAATTTCTGACTATTTATTTGCAGTTTCACCGAAATCATAGCACCAAATATTTCAACCTGTGGAAAATAAGAGATATGTTGCGTTAACTAGTTAATTGATTAGTTTAATATTTAATTAGATAGTTACGTGATTAGGTAGCCTAGCTTGCTACTAAGATAGTTCCATTGCGCGAGTTAGCTTGTGAGTTAAATTAACATGAAAGTAATTTAGTAAGTTAATTAGAATTTAGTAAGTTAATTAGAACGATCATTACAACCATTAGAACATTAATTAGTCAATAACGAAATTAATTTGTACCCCAATTAGTTCATTAATTAGTAACATCATTCATTTACTAATAGCTAATTTGTAACTTAATTAGCTTACCCTACAAGAACCACCAATCATCAACTCAGACAAAGTTTCCGTTATAAGCATTTTCAAGTGCGGCCCTTTGCTATCAGTATCAGCGTCGACCACCTTAAGAAGACCGCCGAGGTAGATGATTGGATCTAGCTCCAGACTCGCATCGAGTCGAAATGATGATGGTGGAAGCGCAATGCCGAGTTCGATACGGGCTCGAATGTTGAGAAAGGGAATCTGGATCGTGCCATGGATCTTGACACCAGGATCATACCTGAATAAAGACAGAAAGAGTGATAATCCAGCTGATGGTTTCGGCAAAATCTCGTACTATAATTTATTCCGAAAAAAGTGCGCATGAATACATTCTACGCAATCTATTCACAGAGAAAAGTGTAGATTTCGAATCAATTTCGATTCATTTTCAGCAGTATATTTACAAGATGTACAACCCTGTCAACTTTCCCTGTGGGACGAAACCCACGACTTTCGGTAGAGCGTTGACCGACTCTTTACGTAACGGTCATCAGCGAGAATCGAACACACGATACCTATACGCATTACTTCATGTATACACAGAGAGAGAGAGCTCATCACGTTTTACTATAATTGAACTTAATTACCTTTTACCGAAACAATCTGGATTTCCTGAAATGGAGAAATATATTTGAACCTCTTCAGGGAAACCGACAGTCGCCAACTTTTTCGGCAATTTTACTACTTTGCCAGCAAAGAGATTAATCAAGTCTTCGAGTAGAAGTCGTGTAAAATGGAGGTCAAAGACGGCTTGGTCTGGAGCTGATGGATCAATACATAGGGTCAGCCCAACATCGATTGGTGGTTTACCAGCCTCACTGGGAACGTCCACACTAATTGCACCCGTTATTCCAAAACTCGGTATCAGAGTAACGAGATTTATACCAAGAGACAACGCCATACGACGGACAGTTAAACGTTTACTGATTCCTAACGGATTTTTCCACTCGCCTTCCCAAAGTAGAGATATACTCACTGTAGCAGTGAACGTGAACTATGGGTGAGAAAAAATAATATGCTTTACGCCTGGATTCTCAAAGCTCACTCACACTCAAAGAGTGGAGATTGAATCTGAGCTTCCCTTGAGTGTCAATGCTGTTTTTGAATAGCTGGAGGGTGAGTAATCACATAGTAAGGTACGACACTAACCCTCCAGCTATTCAAGCCGAAGTCGTTTAGTTGCGACTAGGCTACGATTGAGTTGCGATCATGCTGTCGTTCGCTCGTGGATAGACCGCGGTTTGGTGGAGTTCGAGAAGTTCCTCCACGATTGACTGCAATTTATTTGCCTTTTAGTCGCGGTCGACTGACAATAAAATAATCTCTCCCAAACGTATATAAACTTACCGACACCTCGCCAGTAAAAGTGGAGTCGATGGAAATTGGATTTTTGCTATCCAAATTAATCTTGGCTTTGAGCGACAAACCAATAAGTCGCTTGCTGATTATTAACTTCATGTAAGTAAACCTCCAACCAGAAACGCTACCGATTTGAAGGCCTTCCGAGCCCAGTTTCAATTCCAACTCAAATATGAGTGCCGGGAAGGATATTTTCACGGTTATTTCAGGCTCTTTGTCTCCTTTAGCCTTCAGGCTGCCGTCCTTTTCCACTCCTGCAGAGATAATGGAAGTATGATGCTTGTGATGTTACTCTGAGTGTATATCCCGGCACCAGGCAAGCTTGAAAAATATGCCTGACCACGGTGGGAATCGAACCTACGACCTTTGGAATACCAGCCCAATGCTCTGCCAACTGAGCTACGCGGTCAGGTCGGTTCGAATAAGTGATATTTCGGAACAGAATCTAGTTCCTTCGACACCAATGTAATCTAGTAATACGATGTTTTACTCGAACCGACCTGACCGCGTAGCTAGTAGGTTCGATTCCCACCATGGCCAGGCATATTTTTCAAGCTCGCCCGGTGTGGATATACAATCCGAGTAACATCACAAACATCATATTCACCTGAGTACACAACACAAAAAAATGGCATTAGTTGGAGTGTTATATAAAAAACAAGGGAGGGGCTCCTTGCACGAATTCTTAAATAAAACTCAAGACCCTGCGGCCTTATTTACCTTTTAATTATTTGCTCGGCAGATCATTTTCAGAGGTATTTTAATCTCATGTAGAAGGAAAGGGTACAATCTCGCCTGCAGATTTTGATTTTCAGTATGAAAATGATTAAGGTTATTTTTTGAACGAAATTGCCTCACGGTGAGCGGTTCATCTGCACTTTCTTAAAAACTATTGGCTTACTATACTCAAGTATATCTAGTTTGTTCCCACACCCATGGAAAATTAAAAAAGATGTTTGAAATACATTACAGCATCGGTGAAAAAACAAAGGCATTATCACCTACCCTTACGCAGAATATGCCCCAGCATATTGTCAGCTTTCGGTACAAATCTTGCATAGATCGTGAGTCCTTCAAATTCCGGTATATCCGGACTGCCTGGGCTTCCTTGAATGTAACGTTTGAACGATGGATTAAGGAACTCGTACGGCGAGATAGGTATCTTCTTGCTGACATACACCACAGCAACATCTGTCAGACCTAGCGAACTCAAGAAGCTTATTTCCGAAATTGCATTGGCTTCCACAGCGAAACCAGCGACCACGGCAGAACTCCCACCATGCCGTATCAATGCAAGTTCGACCTAAGGGAGAAGAAGCACGCTTGATGTGTTTCATCGTTAATAATTACAATACATTATTAGTTGATAAGTTTATAATGGTGTCGTGAACATAGGCTTCAATCTTGCTTTGCAAAAATACATATAAAAACACATGTCCTGTCATACATACCTTACTTTCGTGGAAAAGACTTGTCGTTGCTGCAAATGCAATTGACTTTGAACCTTTATTGTCTCCAGTTCTTTGCCACGCAATGCGTAGCTTCGGATTCAAGATAGTAAACCCAGAAATCATGGGCGGTAGCATTTTGCTGTTGAGTTGAATCTTTTCCAAGACATCGCCAATAGAAACGGAGCATTCGGCACCCTTGGCAGAGAAGCTGAGGAGATCGGTTCCGAAATCAGCATCTATCTTAATCGTGCATGTTGCAATGACAATTTTCCCTTTCACTACAACACGCCATGTGCTTTGAGTGGTGGATCGGCCATCACCACCACTAGACGTCTTCTTTCCATATTCAAAATGTATTCCCACATTCCCTATCGAAAACTCTCCAAAAATGGGCCATACTCCTGGTATGCTAGCATCCACCGAAACTGTTTTAACCGATCCCTTATCATCAAATGCTAGAGCAATTTTATCTAATTGTATATGCTCAAATAGCTCCGGAAAATCTTTCGGGAAAACGTTAGGACCCGCCAAGGCTTCGACGACACTTTTAACATTAAAGTCAGTAAAGGTGAAGGATATCTCATCGTTTTTAAACGGAAACGGAATACGGACGTCGACTCTGGGGGACGGAGTAGTTTTAGGCCCCAAGGAAACGCGTCCTAAGACAACGCCGTAGGTCGAAGGATCATTTCCTTTTACATAGTTCAGCTCCAACTCAAGATCGTTAAAGTGGATTTTATTATCAAATAGGGAAAGTACATCCGCCATCTTAAGTTTCATGTTCATTTTCGTTAAAGTCCAACTGCTGGTCGGTTTGCTGGCTTCCAAATGGAAGGACACAAGCGCAATCGACAGTGGATCGGGGATAAACGGTGGCCAATTCTTAAGTTTGGTTTTGCCTCCTGTTGTTGCAATGATATTGCTGTTGGGCAAGAATTCGCGTATAACATGGCCAAGGTTGAGTTCGCCGTTTTGTAAAATTGTGAGAGTTATGAGTTTTGGGGAAATGCAAATCGAAGTCGCGACGTAAATCTTTGCGATAGGAATTTCGAAGGACACCTGCAAAGAAGACCAGAGGTTATGTTTTAAAAACCGATCAGAACCCGCTGTCACTGAAAGGGGAGAAAACAAAAAGGCAATTCCTTTAGTCGCACGAACCTATTGCAGAATTTTTGAGATACCACTGACCTTTAGTCCTTTACGATATGGTTTATCAAATATTTCCTGCGAGCCAATATCCAGTACCATCAGTGGCGTTTGAACATCACCCGTGGACAGAGAGAAGGCAAGATTTCGCACTTCAGCGCTGCCCAAAACTGGAACACTGCTTATATCCATTTTGAAAAGATCTTTAAGCATTTTCGATATCGAAAAGGTTTTGGTAAAGACGGCAATTGTGGCAGTCGTTGGTACATCGCTGGGTTTATTGATGAGTATGTTGACATCAAAAGGATCCCAATCCAGAATTCGAATAGACCCACCAAACAGGAAGCCATACCCGTCGGAAAATACAGCTCGTATCCGAGGCTTTATCACCTCGAATTTGTCGAACTTTGCTTTCTTCAACTCGCCTTCCAGGCTGGTCGGTGGTAGGAACGAGTCCTCTTGTTTGAACATGCGACTAATCGCTGCAGCATTCAAGTTTTCAGTAACCGTAGCGGCAAAGTTGTAGCCTTGAAATGGAAAGAAGAGTTTGTTAGAGTTTTGTCAGGGTAACTTGACCGCTGTTGAATGGATAACTTGGCCGGTGTTAAGTGGCAGAATCTAGGATAACAGCAGATACTATGATGATGATGATGATAGCGATAATGATAATAGCGATGGTGATGATGATAGGATTGATATATGCTGTGTTGGTGTAAGGTACTCAGGTGAATAAGATGCTTGTGTGATGTTACTCTGAGTGTATATCCACACCGGGCAGGCTTGAAAAATATGCCTGGCCACGGTGGGATTGGAACCTACGACCTTTGGAACACTAGCCCAATGCTCTGCCAACTGAGCTACGCGGTCAGGTCGGTTCGAGTATGCGATACTTCGGAATAACGAAAGACGATGGTGGTGGTGATGATGATGGTCATTATGATGGTAATGATGGTGGTGATGACGGTGGTAATGATGGTTTTTTATGGTGGTAGTGGTGTCATTTACCTTCCTCATTGCGAATCAATCTCATATTAACTGGTACGTCCCCGACTGAAAACGTCCCACCGATATCAAACGTAAATTTCTGTGACTGAGTCCAGACGAATGACAGCGACACACGAATATTCGACACGGTCAGAATGTCCTTGATAAGCGTTGCTGTGCCGGTATAAGCTGCAGCCATTTTCACTTGTTTTGTCGCGGTATCCAAGGAAAAAGTCCTAATGATAATACGTTCGAGGGTCATGAAATTGGTGAATTCAAAGTGAGCTTTGCCTTTAGGTAGGACAACATCCAGCAAGTTCGCAAGGTTCACACAATCAGGGGGGCTTGAACTAAGTTGGTAGAGAGTCCCAGTCTTGTCGACGGTAACATGACAGTCCTCGGTTACTTTAAATTCAACTCCGCCATCAATCTCTCCTAACTGAAATGTCTCGAAGCTTGGAAGAGATTTAAGAACTCCTGTTGAAAGAAAAAAGAAGAAATTTTTGTTAGGAAGTTTTTATTAGTGAATATAAATTAACAAGAGTTCTTCTCTAAAACATTTTTAATAAGCTAAACTGAACCAACTGTTCTTTCACGAGGTCTACCAAGAATTATTTCTTATTGACCCAGTGTTGTTATACGAAGAACTGGACCCGGTAGCTATAAAAACATTCATCTCACATATGACTGAAATTATAATCAGACAACTGAAATTAATGTTACCTTTCCCGCGGACGTCGGCAACACCTGTACTCGCTTCTTGGGCATTCCTTGAATTCCCTGAATCACTGTCCTCTCCGCCTCTACCATCAAGACGACGTCCTTGACGAGATATCCCGTCCGCATTTAAACGACTTTTCAATATTAGCTTATACCTATGGAAACCGTAGTCTTGACGGAACCGCGAGCTATGTCTAGCTTCATGCTTACGGGCATAGCCAGAACTTAACAGCACAAACCCAATCAAAAAAAGCACTTTAAAAATTGCCATGTTTAGTAGTAACACAGCCAAGTTGCCTCTCCAGTTAACTGCAGTAACTCTGAGTGAATTAGCATATTCCGCGGGCCTTATATGTGCGTTCTCTACATTTGGCTATGTCAATTTAGGCGCTTGTGGCTACTATATTTAACTTCTGGTTGCAGTTATGTTAGGATTACAGTTAACAGTGGAGTGTTTGAACTATACAAATCATTGTGTACATTACATATTACATGGTTAGTGGTTTGAATCATAAATCGACTACATTTTATTCGATATAAATTTAGTTAAATTTTTGAATACTTTAACTGCGCAGTAAAATATGCTTTTCAGAAACTCCATTCGTTTCTCATCTAACAAATTTAGCCAATTTTTAAAATAATCCGTTTTGCTTATTCCATGCACAAACTTAAATACTTGATTTGCATGGTTGCTTGTATACAAGCGGATTATCTCGACTTTAATTAAGTTCAAAAACGCATTCATTAAGTCCCTATGCCGTGTGTCGGCTTTGATTCTCGGCTTGGACAACGTTGATTTTTGAAATTACTTCGCCAATAAACTCTCAAAGATGGGTCGTTTTTTCAGCCATTTAAAATACTCGCCTCGTGTTTTATAAATAAAACACTCCAATACGCTTGTTTTAAATAGTACATATTATATCTTCTATGACAAATATTTATGAAAGATAACCGAAATATATTTAGTATCACATAAAAATTATCTTCATTTCAACATCAATATGTAACACCATAGAAACATTTAACTTTAATTTAGAGGCATAATGTTTTGCCTAATGCAGTTAATTGAATATTGTTTTTCTAAGAAAGGCCAAATTTATAGCTATAAAACTGCAGTTTTCTCTATTTAAAGATGCGAAAGACCTATATAATTATTAAAACAACGATCGTAAATTCTACAGAATCAACATTAAACTAGAGATTTACTCATCTTTGCTTGTTTTATACCTAAATCATTTGACTTTAAAATTTGCGATAAAGTTATCATATTCTAGTTTGTACTGCAATTACAAAAGCGAACTGCAAATTCACTCAGCGAAGAGTAAATTGGTCAGAAATTCAAGAAGTATATATATAACAATTTTAACATTTTTGACAATCTTAACGACAGTTAGCGACTTGAGAAGTTAACAATTTTAACAACTTCAACAATTTGCAACACTCCCAACAGCAAAAATAATGGATTTACAATTATTTAAAGCTCGGTAAACCACTAACGCACAGCATGTTCCGCTTGAGTGAAAATCTTTGCAACACTGTTTTAATTTAAATACTCAAACTGTCAAGTATTCAGTGAGTGGAACCACTATTTGGTAGTTGCAATCATCTTATTTTAATTGAATTTATTTTAATTTCGACTTTATTTCGAAACCTTCTTCAGAGCAGTGTACACCACTTATAATAATGAGTTAAAATGGGTCTACATCATTTGGTTATAAAATTTAAGATGCAGTCATATTCCAGTATTTTTTTACTGTATATAGTAACTTTGGTTGAAGAGTGAAGAAGAAATGAACTCGTTAAAATTACCAATTAAATTAAATTTAAATTAAATTAACTCCACCAATAATTTACAACAGCGAAAATAAAGTATTCACAAATCTTTAAGGATCACTAAATTACAACAGTGTGCGCAAATCTTTTACCTTTGCAACACAACATTAAACACAAAAACACCTTTAATTTGACAACATAATTACGGATAATTAAACACAAAGACAGCTTTAAAAGATAAAATACTCCGCCTTCTTTACTTTACCTGTACGTTTAAATGAGTTAATTAAAATGTCAATGGGGGGTTCATTTTAACCTGTTCTCAGTTCAGTGACTGGAACAACTTGTTTGGGGCAGCAACTGTTCGTCACAATTATTTTATTTCACTTTTATCAGAACAAAAAGAAAGATCTGCAAAAAGTGGGAAACCTAAGCAACATTTGCCTTAGCGACAATTTTTTACACAAAATACATTGTGGAAGCTAAAATCTTCAGCCAAGGAATAGTCTGAGTCTACAAATATACCACGGTTAGGACGAAGTCAAAACGGGACGATTTCATTCCGGTTATATAGTATTATTTATAATAGATGTTTTTCAAATCAGAACAGGACGAAAAATTGCTCAGACGGGTCTGAAGTCATTCCGCTCGCTGGACTGAACCGACTATATATCTTCAGACCGGGATGAATTCGGAGCGGGGTGAATGTAATTTTTTGGACGAATGATGGTAAATTTGCTTTGTAAATGGTTAGTTTATTTTGAAAAATCGCTTTTCACACACGTGACGAAATAAGTCGCGACTTACATAAGACGCGACTTACATAAGACGCGACTTAAATAAGTGGAGTTATCGCATAAATGGTTCTCTACGGCTTTGGTCTTATTTATTTGCTATAGCTATAATGTTGTTTTGGTTGTTTTTGTTTGAATATGCAAGGCTAATAATTTTACGTTGTTTCAAGTTTCGGGCATGTGTAGTTAGAATTTTTGTCTAAAATTTCTTATTTAAGACGCGACTTAAATAAGAACAGCTAAAAGTCCTGTTCTTATGTAAGACGCGTCTTATCCAAGACGCATCTTACATAAGAATTTTGTACCTTTTATACGATAAACTCGCGTCTTACTTAAGTCGCGTCTTATGTAAGACAGCGTTTACACTGTACCGTTTTCGTAGCGTTCTCGTGTTGTTCGAGAGAACTAGACTATTGTCTTGCGTTCCCTTGAGGATTAAGAACAATACGAGATTACGAGAACGCTACGAAAACGGTACAGTGTAAACGCTGCCTTAGTCGCGTCTTATTTTGTTCCGTATAAATGGCCCTATTGTTTTAATTGTCTGCATTGGATAATGAAAATTTGATGCCACCCAAAAATGGCGGATATTCGTCATCGTGAGAAAGGTAATAATAATAATAACTTTATTCAAACAAAAATACCAATACTGGTATATATAGAATACAGCAAATGTCTATTATAAATTATATAAAAATAATATAATAGAACAGAGTAATAATAATATTACAACAATAACAAAATTTAAACAAGGACAAGTCAAAGAAGAGCTAGATGCAGGCAAGATCCCAAAAAATATTCATTATTTCATATATGTACTTGGCCGTAGAATTAATAATATTTTTATCATTCATTGACACACAGTATAAAAATAAATTATTTGTACCCAACGAGCTGAATTTGCAATTATAAACAACTAACTCATTTAGAAAATTTTCTCGCAGTTTTTCTAACCTTTTGTTACTACAATGTGAAAAGTAGTGATATTCGTCCCCAATCTCATTTGAGTTACAAATTGGACATAGACGTGAATCATGTTCAATATTCGCATATCGTCCAGTTTCAATTGGTAACTTATGAGCGGATATCCTAAACCTAGTCACTGCTTGACGATGTTTCACAATTTTAACTTGAGATAAATAGCTTTCAAATTCTATACTAGGTTTTACAAGTTTGAAAACTTGCAATTTACTGAGTTGTTGAATTTGAGCTTTCGACATGATATTAAATCTTTCACATAACTCGTTTTTGATACTTTTGACTACATTATTAATATCACTTTCCTTCCAAATTGTAGTATTTTTTAAAGGATTAAAGTTACACATCTCTAACAAAAAATCATTGAATTTTGCGATCGGACAACGTGATTGAATGCATACACGTGCTGCTTTACCCACAAACTGGTTTTCATACATTGGACTATTAATTCTTAACCAATACTTGATGGCTAAGGTGGAAATTTGGATAATCATTGGGTATCTTCCTAATTCAGCAATTACTGCTAGATTGGTAGATTTGGAATGGACTCCCAGAATACGTTTACAAAACTTTATATGCAACTTTTCAATATCCGAAATCGTACTAAAAAACTTTTTCTTAAACATTTCAATATTTGTAAAACTTCCTAATAAATGGACTCCCCATACTTCAGAGCAGTACAACAATATCGGAGAAACCAGAGCCGAGAAAAGTTTTAGAAGTACTTTAACTGGGACACTATCCAAATTTGAAAAGTTTTTAAATATACTGTGGTATGCCCCCAGTGCCTTACTATACAACATCTTTTGAGCTACTTTAAAACGACCAGAATAATGGAAAGTAATTCCTAGGTAGACATACTCATCAACACATTGTAACAATTTTCCACCAAGACACCACTTGGAAGTAATATATAGGCTTCTTTGGGATTTACTACCAAAAATTAGAACCTTGGATTTTTTTAAATTGATCTCTAACTTCCATCTTTCTACATAACTTTGCAGTTTCGCAAGACTCTCCTGTAAACCTAACCGAGAATTCGATAATAAAACCAAATCATCAGCATAAAGTAAACAATTTACTTTAGTAGTACCTAGATGCACCGGATCACAATTTGAAGTATTTAGTAGTTCAGGTATATCATTGATAAAGACATTAAATAAAGATGGACTCATGTTGCAACCCTGTTTTAAACCGATGTTTGACGAAAATACTGGAGTACTTCCCGAAGGAAGTTTGACTTTATATTTAACTGAGGAGTACATACTTAATAGTATGCGAACAAAATTCTTACTACAACCATATTGGATGAGCTTGAAAAATAAACCCTCTCGCCATACACTATCGTATGCCTTACGAAAGTCTATAAAACAAGCGAATAATGGTTTCTTATGTAACTTATAGGAATCTATTAACGTTTTTAGCACAAGTATATGATCGGACGTTCTAAATCCATACCTAAAACCAATTTGATTCTTATTCAAGATTTCATGTTCTTCCAAGAAAGTATTAAGACGATAATTAAGGATTGAGGTAAAAAATTTCCCTAAACAACTGCTGATACATATTCCCCTGTAGTTTCCAGGATCAGAACGACAACCTGATTTATAAAGAGGTACAATATACCCTTCCGACCACATGTGAGGAAAAGTTCCATGAAATAAAACATGATTAAAAAGTTTAACAAAGTTAGTAGCATGAACTTCCACAGCAATCTTAATAATTTCATTGCTTATTACGTCTCCAGCACTACTCTTTTTATTCTTAAGTTTCTTTGCTGATGCGCAAACTTCATGTACTGAAATCGGTGCATCTAGGATATTATCAGATTTAACTGCCCAAAGTCGATAATCTCTGACAAATTGAGTCTCGTTTCTAGAATTTTCAGGGGTTGCTTTTTTCTCATTTAAGTTTTTAAAATAATCGTACCATACTACAGGTGAAATCTCATCCTCTATATCATTTGGATTATTTGATTTTATAGACTTTACCAATTTCCAAAACTCTTTTGGATTATATTCTTCCATAGATTGAATTTTACTTAACAATTCGTTTTTAAAATTTCTTTTTAATCGTTTGACGAGTCGTTTGTATTCTTTCTTTGTACTGAAAAATTTATGTCGTAAAAAATTATTATCAGGGAATCTTGAAAGCAGGCTACCCAAGTTTCGTAGTTCATTTTTTAACAAGTGGCAACTCTTGTCAAACCATTTTTTATTTTGCATTGTACTTCTTTGTTTCTTTTTAGAAAATCGTCTATTCTTAATTTTTATGACCTTTCTCGAGACTTTAATAATAATATTTGTAAACTCATTCACTAATGAATCCACATCCTGATCTTGCGGAAATTGAAACAAAGTATTCATTTCATTCAAAATGCAGGTATTATTAAGGTTTTCCCTAAGAGTAGTTTTTAAAGCATCATTCCATATAAAAGACATGGGAAGTGGTGACAATTGTAAAGTTTTCTCTGTCCCTAGCGGTAAATAAGACTCAGTTTCTAAACCAAAGGAGAGAAAACAATGATGCGAAAAGTGTGTGATTTCAGATACAGTAAAATATTTAATTTCCCTCATGACCTCTGAAGAGACAATAGTATAATCAACCACACTAGCCCCATTATATGTTTGACAGGTAAATTGACCGATATGGTCACCCTTCGTTCTGCCATTTAACAGAATTAAATCATTCCCGCAACACAACTCTGCCAATTGTTTCCCATATGAATTACAGTGATTGTCTTTGGAGTTGCGTGATTCAATTTCAATTGAACCATTATTAAAAGAACAGGTAGATGGGAAAAAATCTTCTAAAACTGACGTATTTTTTATATAATCATCTAAATTACCTATTCTAGCATTGAAATCGCCACATAATATTATGCTCCCTAATTTTGAAAATTTGTAAATATTTTCCTGAAGGGATTGAAAATGATCGCAGTCTAGACGACGTTCTCTAGGCGAGTTTTGCGGAGGAATATATACACTACATAAAAACAAATCTCGTTTCATGTGAAAAAAATCTTTGTCTAATTTCCACCAAACAAACTGTTCATTACTTTCTTTATCAAAAAATCTGATCCCTTTTCTCAACTCTGATTTCACCAACACAGTTATACCACCCGAGTTTCTCCAAGCTCTATCAGGTTTTTGCCTAAACTTGGAAAATGAGTAAAATCCTTGTATATTTACTGTACTATCATTTTTAAGCCAATTCTCAACAAGAGTAATGCAATCAAAAGAATTAATTGTTGACAAGAAATCCTCATCATCCAGTTTTCCTAAAAGTCCCTCAATATTCCAGGAACAAAATTTTAAAAGTTTTTTCATCTGCATTAACTAATTCTTACAATAATAAAAGAAGTATTTTGACTTGTAACACCTTCAAAACTAAGGTATGGAAGGCTGGCTAACAGCCGAACTATACAGTGGGAAAAAAGATGGAGGAACTGCAGACTGCGGATACATCGTTCTACACTGCTGTAAGTTACTTGACACTAGGGTATTAACTAACTTATTTAATGTACTTAGCTGGGAAAAGACATCATTGATTCCATTTTCCTTCTTTGTTTCATGTTCTTTGCTGACTTCGGTAGACTGTGTAGCAATGCCATACCGTTTTCTCAGTAGATCTTCCGGTCTTAGTAGAGGATTTACAGAGCTTCCATAACGATGTTGAGGGTATGGAGCACGATCCTCAGGTCGGATCTGATGCAGATCATCACTATGATAGGATGAATAACGAGGTTGAGGGTATGGAGCACGATCATCGGGTCGGATATGATGCAGATCATCACTATGAAAGGATGGATAATGAGGTTGAGGGTATTGAGCACGATCATCAGGTCGGATCTGATGCAGATCATCACTATGATAGGATGCATAACGTGGCTTGTTGTCCACAACACCACTTGCCACTCTAATTGCTTTCTTGATGTTCGCTGCAAACTTACGAACACCCCGATTCCTATTTAAGTGCTTACGGTCAAAATACAATACTCTGTCTCGTAGATTATCATTGTTCACATAAATAACATCAGCGAAGTTTGAAATTTCACTTTGGATTGTTCGGTTTATTGCCCGAATGTCTTCATCAAAATCGTCATCTCGTGGAGTAACACTCGAAACAATGATCTTTTTTCCTGGGAATGCCTTCCTAGCTGTATCTACCATCTCTAACTGCTTCTGAATAACCTCGTCTAACGTTAAGTGTTCAACGTCATTAACACCTGTGTTTATTATAAGCGCTTCGTTAACCTGGAAACGTGGTGAAGATATGATTTTAATTGCTTGACTGGAAGTACCACAAGGGATGATTTTTACCGTACTATTAGGGCATAACAGCTGTGTGTTGATGAATTTTCTGTTGGAATCACATAGAAAGACAAAATCATACTCTTCCAAACTTTCTTGATCATTCACCTTTTTTCCGCCTTGGTTTTCAACAGTTTGCTCATTGGGATCACCGCTTTCTGAAGGATGTGCTTCTTTAGACAAAATAGGACCACTTTCTTCTTTAGTTATTAGGACCTCGGATTCATCTCTGTCCGTTACATTGATATTTAGCTCGTTCTGAACAACACTTCCCGGTTCTCCCTGCACTACATCAACTTTTGCATTATTTTGTAGTTCTTCAACTTGGTCTGATAATGATTTATTTGACTTTTCCAAACTTCGAATTTTTTTGGATAATTGATTCTTCTCTTCGATCAAAGATCCAAGGCGTCCTTGCAATTTTTTTACTTCCAATTCAGCTTTGTTAGTACGTTCATCATATTGCAAAACTTTTTCGTCAAAAGCTTTCCTCAGAATTGACATTTCATTTTGGACTCTATCTGCCAAACTTTGAAAAAGGGTATCGCTAAGAGAACTTAATTTGGCGTCGGAGTTCACCGCTTCCTTATCAATACGTGCAACAACTTCTTCGAGATTTGACACACGTTGCGCACATTCTTGAATATTATTTATGTTAATGTTTTGTTGTTTAGCGACCTTTGCTGATGGTGTTGTCGATAACTTTGTCTTCGATGTATTCTTGTTTGTACAAACTTTAACTTTGGATTTGGCTTTTATGGGTTTGTATTTTGGGTGGTCGCTCTTCATCGTATTCTCGTTGGTAGACAA